AAAAAAAAAAAAAAAAAAAAAAAAAAAAAAACCAATGCTGCAGCACAAATAATACAGTACAGATACTTACAAACGAGACAGTTTAAACAACTCAGTGCTCGGTTTTTAACGATCCAACTTCCATTAGTGGTGTAGCTGTGCTCGTATACTTACAGTTATCTTCTGTTTCAATTACGAGTAGTCGGTTCTAACAAATTTTTCAAATAATCACTCGCTTTTTTAGGCCAACATTTGACTAATAAAATTTTTGAAGTAGTAGAATAGAGCGGATAGGACTAAGTGTAAAACGAAAAACTTGGCTGGATTAGAAGTATTGCTCCATTAGACGTTGAACTGATGTGGTCAAAAAAGACATAAGTAGCCATGCATTTTTCTGGTCAGCTACTACAGTTACCTAATGGATGAATTTCCCATCTAGACTTCGAGAGAGATGTGAAAACTGATTTAGGATCTCAAAATTTAGGAATTTTACCTAAAAGCTGAACCGTTAAGAGCCTCAGCTACGTAAATAATACACTTATTGAGAGAGATATTAAATCAATGGCGATGCGCACCGGGCGAGCCTGTGTGATCATACGCTTTTGTATTTCATGCTGTTGTAAGATCGCTTTGAGCCCCAGTAGCTAAAACTTATGGCATATTGGCCCTCAAAGTTCAGGAAATTAATTGTGCAACTACACGGTACTTGGTCAGGGAATATTCCCTCAGAATTTCAGCTTTCTGTCTTTTCTGGCCTCGGTCACGGGGCCGTACATGAAAACTGCGCATAGCTTGGAGGAATTTGCAATGTTTGAGTTGTACGCGAGTAGTGATCATCCCCTCAGAATTTCAGTTTCCCAGCTTTTCTGGCTTACGATTAAGTAGTCTTCCACCAAAACATTTCGCGACGCCATACGTAAGAATCACGCACACCCGGAGACTGAATCTGAAATCTTTGAGTTATATGTGAACGAGAAATACAACCATAAAACTTCAGATTTTTAGTTTTTCTGGTTTCTGAGTTAGCGATTATCTTGCCAAAACTTTATGTGTCTGTAAATGAAAATCAAAGAGAGATGAGCGTCAATTTTGGGGGTAGGACCCGTGCGTATGTGTAGATTAAATTGCCAAAGTTTCAGCCTTGCAGATTAAGTTGCCAAAGTTTCAGCTCCCTTCCTCACTACAGACGCACACACAGGCACACACCCACAGACAACCTCTCGACAATATGCGTTTTTGCATATATATGCAAATTGCAAGGTGCATATTGGCAAGACGCTGTTTTTGTGTGTGTGTGTGTGTGTGTGTGTATGTGTGTGTGTGTGTGCTTGTATGTACGTGTCTGTGTGCCTGTGTGTTCGCACTTTTTGTCGCCCATTTTAGCTCGAGAACTAGGAAAGCCAGGAGGCTGAAATTTTGGGATTATGTGTCCATACCACGCGCGAACCTCCCATTTTAATATCACCATCCGCCTACTCCTGGGTGGCGCGTACGAACGTCTTAAAGAATATGTAAATTATTTGGCGGGAAAGCGATTTCGGAAATCAGACAAAGTAAAGGGCTGAAATTTTGTAGGACATTCCCTGTGCATTTGTGAGCTAAAGATTTAAAATTCAGCCCCCAGGCAAGCATTGTTACTCACCTAAAGGCATATGAAAGTTTTGGCGGGAAAATTACTAACTCGGGAGCCAGAAAAGCTAGAAAACTGAAATCTTGGGGCAATGTTCCCTGTCCAAGTGCAACTTAAATATTTCAAATTCTGCCTTCAAGTAGATGTGGCTCTCATGTACTAGCAGGTGGAAGAATTGACGGTAAAATTGCTATTTCGGTAACTAGAAAAGCTGGAAGGCTGAAATTTTAAGGGGATGTTCTGTGTTCACGTGCATTTTAAATATTTTAAATTTAGCTTCCCAAGTAATGGGTTACCCACGTGCGGGGATGCGAAAGTTTTGGCGGGAAAATCACCAACTCGGGGACCAGAAAAGCTAGAAAGCCGAAATTTTAGGGCAATTTTCTCTGTCCAGATACAAATCAAACGTTCCAAATTCAGCCTTTAGGTATGCGTGATTCTCACGTATGGTCATTTAATAGTTTTGGCAGGAAAATTGCTCGCTGAACAGTTGGATTACTTCTAAAGAATGACTGTTAAATGGAAACTGCTCATTTACTTCATGCAAATTTTGTAGTGATTTACGCTAGTGAGACCAAAAAGCAGGTGTAAAGCAACAACCATTCATGCAATTAACGACCGGAGTGCCTCAAGTCTGGTGCAAAAACATATGATCGCACCGGCAAACCTGGTGCGTTTCAACCTGGGTTGTATTTCATAGAAGCAAAAAAGGCATAAAAACTACTAAATTTACTAAAAATTTAACGCCGACTTTCCGTAAATGGTGACGCTTCTTTCCCTGCGGGCTAGAGAATCACTGGTAATTGTAGTGTTGAGAAAACTGGATCGAACAAACTTACACCGAAATCAAATCATTAGTGACAGAAGCAATACACATGTAACCGATCTGCTCTAAAAACCGAGTTTGGGAAAGCTGATAGTTGTAGTACATTGACAACTCCACAAAATGATTGTGTGCAGCATAAATCCATGATGAGATTTATATCTAACTGTTATCATGCTGAACTGCGACAGTTCGATAAGTTCTTTTGGTCATCGGGTGCAAACGAATTTCTGATCAGTACTTGTGACAGATAGCCTGAAACAGTTCATCCAGAATTTTTGCTTGCAGCGTGTACTTGCGTCTCATTTTTATCCGGTTTAATATATTGATAGTTAGATCACTTTTCGTGTGCATTTAAGCTTCACTAAAAAAAATTTCGCATTCCTTCAGGATAATTTATCGGAGTAGCTGAATATAATTTCGATAATCTGTGTAAAAAATGTCGCTTTTAGATGTTATCAAGAGGAACTGATAAAGTTATCACTGCACAAGCTCTTGAAACTAGAGTGCTCCTCCTGTATTTGCACTATAGATGATATCAAAACTGACATGCTCTGATGAAAACTAACTAAAAAAAACCTAAATCCAGCTGAGAAGCGTTAACAAGCCGGCGCTGATTAAACAGCGCGAATACGTGACAGAGAAGTACTGTTTTCCGAATTCCTGAAGTATCCTGATAGCAAACTTGGATGATACTTTCTTCCTTTCCCAATTCTAAACAAGCACCTGAGTTTCCAAAATGAGAGGTTCTGAATAAATGGTAAAGTAACACAGCTCATAATAATTTAAAGCACATAATACACAAACGGCTCACATACATTGAGTGAGTACTGGTTGGAGTTGTTTGCCTCAGCACTGAAAAAAAAAATGACACAGTTGTGCCCATGCTTGTCTCATTTTATGAAAATACAGCGACTGGGAGTCGAACCACTCGTCTTCACATTCGAATGCGACGTTCTAAGCCGTTGCAACACTGGGCCTTGTGCTCCACCCATTTATCGAAGAGCTTATATTCCGAATGTGCGTCATACATTACTGTCCAGTATCTAAGTCTTCAGAAGCAGAGCACAGATTTTAGTTCTTGCTGTCTTTTCACGGTACTTCAAAGACGCTAATGTATGGGAGAATCCTAGTAAATTCACTAAAGTGGAATCGTAAAATCAATTGAGCGAATGAATTTGTTGCACCAAACCATGGCAAATTTTCAGGGAAAGTTTTAAAATACGCGGGATTTTATTCCATAGCGAACATGTTTTGTGCTGCATTTGCTTTTGATTATAACTAATTCTTTCGCAGGTCGACGATCTGTTAATGGCCGCCAGTGTTGCAGCAACCATATTCAATGTTTTAGTGATATTCTGTGCCACTAAGCTATTTCGGCGAAGCGGCGACACTATGCATTTATTTATCATAAGTATGACCATTGGCGATTTACTACTGACAGGTGAGAATAATTTTCGTTTGTAAACCTTACAAGGACGGATCAACTTGCTGTCTAGGAAACCGATGTTGTAATGCTGCCCTTCACTGATAGCGCTACCATGTTTTTTCCTCGCTACACCCACTGGGTGAATACACCAGGACGCGTACCTGCTCGTCGCTACAAGTTTTGGTTAATCTACCCCGTATTTGAACACGCAAACTTGGTATTTCCGGCATTCACATAATTGCTTCTGGCATTCCAGTAATTGTTCTTAAATTGGAAAAAGTGTATTTCAAGAAAGAATTTTCAGATCAATCAGCCCCTTCTTTAATTGAATCAAAGTATCAAATTTTTTAGTTCCCAGTTGGTTCCGCACTGAATGTATACTCCTCTTGATTATGAGGTCACAAATCTGTACACACTAACACTTGTGACTGAATTTGATCTATTTGACTTTTAAATAACCATTTCCCCAGAGCTTCAAAATTATAGCTCTAGCCCTAATTGGAATATGAAGGTGCAAGTTAAGAAAGTAAGATACCTGATAATTAATTAGGCGTTTCTGGTCGAATACTTTGTTTAAGATTGAGGTTCCTAAAACTTTTAGCATCCTTTAAAACAGTGATTAAGTTGCATTGCTGGGGCAAACAATCAAATATGTAGACTTTTCGCAAAAAATTTTTGCCAAGCAAATAATAGGCAGTTTTATTGCAAAAATCACGACTGAGTAATTCCACTGTAGTTTTTCAGAATTTAACATTACCCGTCATAAATTTCCTGATAACATTAGAATCATTTGCAGTATTCTGTCATCCGAATGAATTTTTAATACGTAAGCACGAGTTCTTGCAACACGCTCGCCTATGCGCAATAATCCATTTCTGCAACTGGTTGGGCCTGGCGGTATCGGGCCTCTCATTGACGATGCTCAATCTCGATAAGCTCATCTACTTTCAATGGCCACTTAGCTACGATCGAACCATGTCCAAAAGCAGAGCCGCTATTTTGTGCGCTTTCATATGGAGCATCTCTGTCGGGCAAGTACTTCACTCTTTTAATTTTCTTTTCCTTCTCGACACTCTTCCCTTTTTCGGCATACTTGAGCGGGAAAAAAAAATGCGCAGCTGGCTTATCGATAGTGAATCACTGTCATTTTTAGCCTGCAAGTACACTTAATAGATATCGTCGACTAAAAATTTATTTTCAGAGCGTAATTTGAAATGATTTCGGAGTTTTTTCAAAATCTAGCCAGAAAAAATAGATATCGCTTTGCTGTAACCGTAAAAAGCGATCCGCGGGAGGAACAATTCCTGTTTTGTAATTGATTCAATATTCCAGGTCTTCGTTTTACCTTGCCCACTATAAAACCATTTTTAGATTATTCCTTCATCTTGATTTCTTTACGCTGAGAGGGATCGGACTCAAAGAAGTGACGAAAGCGTGCTTATTGTCTATGAGAGACGGAGACATTCGAAAGTAGTCTGAGTGGTAGCCTGTGGCGACAGTCACTCAGGCCACTTATAAATGCGTGTCACAATTTCCGCTTACATATGTTCTCTTCGTTTTAGGAGCACTCTTTTTAGCTATAAAAGTATAAGGGGCACTGTGTTTAGTTTTGTTTTCATACCCATTTCGACACCTAAATTTTTCTCACTGAACTGGTATCGATCAAACTGAGCTGAGCAAAATGGAAGGAAATCTTTTTCCATTTTTTTTTGGAATTTCCAGGAATTCCGATCCTCAGTAATTCTGGACTGTGCTGAGTTACTTCGGTTGCGCTTCATAAATGATTTTTGCGACCCGTCCAGTGACCCAGTGCTGTGTAATTTTATTGGGAAGCTGGTAATAAGACTATTATGCCCTGCCACAGTGTTTCATCAGTGCTGTTTTGCAGATATGTCACTTGCGTTTGGGTGTTCAATGTAGTTTACATTGGAAAAAATTGTATTTTACAAGTGAGTTTAATTTTGACTATTTTCTGCTTGTACGTTATCTTGCGTCTGATAAATTTTATTTATGTTAATTTCAAAAAAAAATTTATATTGAAAGAAAAAATTTTTAACGAATTCAGTGGAAATTCGTTGCAGATGACCAGTCAAAAAATGTATTTTTATGATATTTTTATGGTGATGTATTGTGTGCTGCCAGTCACTTCATCGCTTATTCTTAGCTGTTATCTATATCAACTTACACATGAAAAACGTCACAGCCCGGCCGCAATTGGACAATCCCGTGAGACGCGAAGGTTCAAAAGTAAAGTAAGCATTGATCAAATAAAAAAATGGCCATTCATATCCAACGCAATGTAAAAACTCAATCCGGCGAATGTTAAACACCCGGTAGGGTAACAGAGTGAACATTTGCTGGTTGCGTCTCTTCGATTTGGATGTGCACGCAAATCAGCCTTGAAAAATATTTTTTCTTAACTGACTTGCATTTTTTGCATAAAAATTTATTTTAATAAAAATAACTTACAACTGATACTGGTGTGTGTCAGAAAGTCAAACCCGCCATTAGCTTGCTTGTAAGCGATTCTAAAAAGAGGAAGCTACTGAGAGTTTTGCCAAAGGATAATTGCTACTGGCGTCACTACTGCTTGGGTTTTCTTGTTTCTTTACCTCATGTAGAGAGCAAATAGAACGGGTTTTCATTTTTGACTCGCAAACTTGCACCAGGTCGTAGACTAATATCGACTATGCAGCTGGCAGCTTTTCCAACTCCTCTGACCGGCGTTGAACCTTGTGATAGCCAGCCTACTGGCGATTCTGATGTTCACTTCCCTGCATGAAGGTATTGGCAGCTCAGCCGTTTCCACGATGGCAAGACGTTTCAACATACTACTGGTACATCTTGAGCATCGCCAACTCGTCTCGAATGTTGCTGCCCCTAGGCAACGACGATGCAAGTTTCTGACATTTTGGCACATAAAAAATGTTAAACCAATACAAGAAGTGCATTTGTAACATGCCACCAAAAACGGGAATACCAAAAAAGGGAATATTTCTTGTTCACTGCGCCAGAGACCCCGGAGTGTAACCTTATGCTTCCAACCAGTGATGGAACTAGAGAGGATAAAGCTGATTCACTGAAGGGAGGTGTTACGTCCAGATGAGATCATTGGTGTTTATTTTCGCAACAACAGCTTGGACAGCATTCAGTCTTCTGCCATATCGGATATTCAACATTTGCCGGATGCATCTGTTCGAATGGAATGAGCTGGACTGTAGCACGCAGGACATCATGAACTGGCTTGCCTATGTGCTCCAGTATCTCCTTCTACTCAATCCGGTTTGTTTTTTACCCTTATTCTCCGGGATTTTAGAGTGAGATTTTGTTCATCTGGTTCGGACAGATGAACAAAATCTCACTCTAAAGCCAGCAAGGCATTCACAGAGGGGAGATACACCGTTCCGGTATTGAGATTTCACAGTATGAAAAGTTCGCGGAGGCTGGAAATTTTGGGTGTGGGATTCGAGATACGGGAAGGGGTTGGGGTAGGCGTGAGGAGGTGGTGTGTGCGATTTCGCGCGCGGGGAATCGTGACAGGGAAAGAGGGTTGGGGTGGGTGAATGAAGGGGCCGTGCGGCGTAGATCCCTTGGCAGTTGCCTAGGGGAAAAGCGGGTGGGTGGAAATGAGGGAAGAAAGAAGAAAGTAAAAGCAAGAAATAAAGTGAAATCAAGAAAAGAAAATGAAAAACCGCCACCAGTAGGGGACTTCCCCATCTATAAAGCTGATGCTTAAGTAAAGCTGAGCGCTCTCAGCTTTACCTGAATATCAGATTCATAAGTATGGAAGCCTCCTACTAGAGACAAGCTTTCAGCAAACAAAAAACCCGTTGTCAGCAAATGACTCTCCCATTTATGAAGCTAATGGTTAGGTAAAGCTGAAAGATCGAACAGCTGATGCTTAGGTAAAACTGAACGCTCTCAGCTTTACCTGAGCATCACCTTCATAAACAGCTTCATAAATAAGGTTTTTCCCCTTCTCTATCCTGTTCCCAAACCTTGCTTGCAGGGCGGCATCTAGGCGCCTATCACATCTCCCTCCCCCCGCTTTCCCTCCTTCCAACCACTATAACCACTAATCATTCCCTACTCTTCACTAGTTCTCCTTGTTCCTCCCTTCTATCTTGCTTTAACCCGTGCCTCCTGTGCTGCATCCGGGCACCTACTAACCAACACCCCTCCCCCCAACCCCTCCAACGCACACGGTCTAACAGCCAAACTCCGGGTGTCGCTACCCAGCAGGCCTGGCAAAGTGCCAGGCGGCGTCGGCGAGACTCGCCGAGAAGTAGCGATAGCAGAAATGCAAGGTAACAGCCGAGCCGAGCCAAGTTTTAGTTGTTGCCTTGATTCCCTACTGGTCCGTTCCCATTAACAAAAGTTTGTTTCGTTCACGCGAGCGTCACAAGTGGTGGATTCTAATTTATGCAGTATGCAACTCTAAACAGAGAAAATTGAGTGAAATTCAGTAAAAGGATCAACTCGGTTTTCCGCGCTTTCGGATCGTAGGATCTTGGAAATTTTATTACTATGGTGGGCAAAAAAGAAGGATGTTAAACTTCATATTTAAAGCAGCGTCGAATGGAGTCACTTTTGCGGGTCCTGTTTCTTTTTCCCCTCGACTTATTGAAGTTTGCTTGATTAAGCTTAGAACCGGCCCTTAAGAACAAAACAAATTTAGTTTCAGGTACCACTCTTTTTAAGTAAAAGTTTTGTAGCTGGTGTATCTCTTACAACTGCGATTTTTCAGATAATAAATCCATTAATCACAGCATTAATCTATGCACCTTATCGGTTGACTCTGAAACAATTTTTGGTCAATATACCAATCAGGAATCGCTCATTTTACTACCGCGAAAACCAGACAGACGTGAGGTAGGCATCATTACTATTACTACTGAGCTTTACAAAATAGAAATGCATATAGAGATCTTCGCTTTCCTGAAGGCTTTTTGTGTCTGAATGTATCTAAAATTTAAATTTGCTAGCTGCTCGAAATTGCTGTTTCGCTACAAGTGTCTTTGGCGTGCTCTTACATGTGCAGTCCAAAACCTGGTGCATGTGCAGTCCAAAGCTTAGTTTAGGTAGTTTTTTTTCTGGAGTCAAAATATTTGATGGAAAATATTCTCATAAAATTTCAGTTAACCTTTGCCGGTTAATTCTTGAGTAGAAAGGCGTCGATGGCGGATTTCGACGTGTCTGTATGCATGATTTAGGCATGTGTGACAGAGGGCACCTCTGTGAAGCTTCAGCTTCTTTCTGGTTTCTGAAATCATTTTCCGCCAAAAGATTTGCATGTTTTATTTGGGCGTACTTGAGCGATTTTAAAAAGTAGCTGGTGGATGGGTAGGGAATATGCTTCTAAAATTTCAGCTCGGTGTCATCTCCAGTTGCTGAGTTGAAAGTGAATAGTAAAGTTCACTTGCCTCCGAACACACAGGCACACAGACACACGGACAGTCTCTTGATAATGCACATTTGCATGAATTTGCAAAAACTCATAAAAATTACGACAGAATTCCAGTCCTGAGCGCTTGCGCCTCCGGTTTATAGCACCGTTACCGGATGACAGACTACGCAGTCTCATACAATTTAAGGGCTTAGTTTACAGTCACTTTTGAGGACTTTTAATAGAAATTAATCGCATAATTCGCACTTGCAGTTATGCGGGTGTTTCAACGAAGCGGTCGCGATCACGCCGTAGCTCGGAGCCTGCGCTCGATCACGAGCTGGCGGATTTAAAACGGACCACTGAAATCCGAATCAGCCTCAATAGTGCTGGCGAAAGCCCATGGCTGGATCGAGATTCTGCTAAAAATGGGAGAAAATCGAGCGATGTGACCACTTACGTTTACGTAACACGACCTAAAAAATACTCACATAGCTAGTGCATGAGAACAACTGTCATAAAAGCAGCGCATGTGGGCTGGGAAGCGGATTACAGGCGAATAGGTCCCCAATTTGAAATTTATTTCTGCTATTTTCTAATTTAGGCTTCTTTTACCCAGTCATTCAAATACTAGAACTCAAACGCGACTGATGCTACTAAGATTTGAACAAGAAATTTTGGAATTCTTGCGTCGCAGTAAAATACCAGGATCGCCCGGGTTATCGGTACGGATATCCCGTATTAGTGTTGTTAGTGGGATGCTCCCTTACGTCTTAGTTAAGCAAAAATTTTTTTTTTCTTATGATAATTTTAACAGGATGTCAAAGCAGGAATTTGTATAATCCCAAGGTATGAACAGAACTGAGCTTTTTTTCTCAACAGATTCTCTGTACTTCGGCTTTTAATCACGAAAGGATGTTCCGTTTTTACAGTCAGGAAACAGTGAAAATACCAAAG